CGAATGTAAATACAGAGTAGCAAAGAACCAGAAAATGCATACAAAACTTTATTTCTTCGTAGATTGCAACCTCTTGTTTACTGAAGATAAGATTCCTGTGGTTGCCAAATAATGTAGTTTGTGTGGGATTGACTGGAAAACAATATTGTTTTAACTGTGTATTTTGATCTTGGCAATGTACCAATTCAGATAAAGGATGGAATCTATGTTGTTTCACTTTGTGGGCCATTGCTTCTCAACTGAAAACCAGTTGCTAAATTAATATTTACAAAGCTAATGCTTCCTCAGGGAGCGCCAGGTCAGTTTGTCCAACTTGCTATGATGGTCCATATAACTTTTATCTATTTGAGTGCCTGCCAAGTAAGCCAGGACCTCGCTTACCAACCACTCATTCAGTAACCATTTTAAGTGCTGAAGGAGTAGCACTTCAATCAATTTTCGCAGTTCTGGCTGTCGGTGTTCCCACGGCCACCTGATTACAATCTAGGTGCTTGCAACTGGCTCACACTTATGACAGATCCAGTGTCTCGCAGTTACGTGATCATTATTTGTGACTTTCCCTGCCAGCTTCCCCAGAAGCAGTCATTGAGGAAGAAAGCAGGGAAAGTCGCAGTTGCTCTGATAAATCCTCCTCACCTTCCAGCGTTTGAGCCATGCCACCCATTCCCATGCCGTACCATCTACCCCCACCCCCAAGGCTTTTCTGGGCTTATGTTACACCATCTAATCTGTGGCCTTTCGGTATAGGTAGTCCTCGACTTACAACAATTTGTTTAGAGACCATTCAAAATTCATTCATATGACCAAAATTCAGATGTTTGGCAACTGGTCTGTATTTATGACTGTTGCTATGCCTCATGTGATCCGCTTTTGTGACCTTCTGATAAAACCAGATTCACTTAATGTGTTACTATCTATGGCAATGATTCATGTAACTGAGGCAATAAAGGTCATAAAATCAGGCACAATAAACTTAACAAATATCCTCACTTTGCAACAGAAATTTTGGGGTCAGTTGTGGTTGTAAGTCGAGAACTACCTGTATTTATGCGTGGGGTATATAGGCCTTCCAAACCGAGTCCTTCAATTCATGGCCTCCCCTGGCTGCCTCCTGCATCATCCCCACACCCCTTTCAACACTTCCTGCTTAATGACCTGCATGTCATACGATTACTTACAGTGGCAACTGGGACGGCTAATACTAAGTGATACGGTCATATGAGATGTTGTGTTTTCTGACTGAAATGCTTAATGACAGCGATCCTGATGCCAACTGCTGTCATATCCCGAGGACTACCTTTATCAGATTATGGTCATGCTGTCTAAGGAGGACAAATCTTTTGTTCTAACATCCTTGGACATCTGGTTGGAGAAAGCTGGGCTAATGTCCTCAGTCAGATTTGGGGGAAACCACATTCAGACCTTTTGTTTACTGATAAAACTCATAATTCTCCTGTTTTAGTAAGCCCCCTCACAGAGCCATTATGAGCAAATATTCTGTTACGCTTGATACTGAACATTCAGTGAGTATACACAAATACAGGCAGTCCTTGACTTTGGACTACAATTGAGCCCAACATTTCTGTAGCTAAGTGAGACAATTATTAAGTGAGTTTTGCTCCGTTTTATGACCTTTCTTGCCAAAGTTGTTAAGCAAATCTGCACTTGTTAAATGAGTAACACGGTTGTTAAGTAAATTTGGCTTCCCCATTGACTTTGCTTGGAGATTGCAAAAAGGGATCACAGGACACTGCAACCCTCATAAATAGGAGTCAGTTGCCAAGCATCTGAATTTGGACCACATGATCATAGGGATGCTGTAACAGTTGTTAAGTGTGAAAAATGGTGGTCACTTTTTTTCAGTGATCTTGTAACTTCGAATGGTCACTAAACAAACTGCTTAGGACTACCTGTATAACACAAGTTTAAACACCAGCAAAGAGATAAGGTCCCCAATGTTTATTCTGTAGCCTTTTATTTCTTGGGGACATGAACAGCATTTCCTCAACCACCCTATTTTCTGGGATCCGGCCGAGGTAGATTTTCTGTTGTATGGAAAAAAGTAATAGAGCCTTTCCCTTTCTAAACTGCAACACAAGTGAGAATTCTGGAAGAATTTCCTATGCAGTTGGCATCTTGCCCACAAAATGAGATGGGCATTCCCAACTTTAACATGCAAGTGAATTTCACCAGGAGCAGCAGAATGGGCACTGGCGATCTAGTCTAACCTCCCGCCCGCTACGTCCTAGATCAAGAGAAGGCCCTTCAACCTAAGGCATGCAGTGATGGCGGCTGGCTCAAAATTTTATAGGAGAGAGGTTACAAGAGAAGATTATCATGGCAGTTCCAGAATAACAGCTAAATTTTATTTATTTTTTTTCTACTAAACCAGGCCAGGAAAAACAAACAAACCCAGTTTTTCATGGGCTGGCATTTTACTGTATCTAGAAAGAACAACCCAGCTCAAAACCTATTATACTCATGTGAAAATAAACTGTCAACAAAATGGGATTTTGTTAGAGGAAAAAAGAAGGATCTTGACAACCAAAATATGTTTGTTTACCAAAATATCTCAAATTCTGGGCTCCATCCAAGGCAAGGGTCCTGTTCTTTTGAGTTGAGATTGATCCCTTGTCATCTTATAGATATACGGTTTTCTTGGCATATTACGGAAAAGGTTAAGGCACCGCCTTCTTTGAATATATATATTTTTTACTTCCCAGTCTAGCATACAGCCTAGTGATCTCCCATTGAAAACCCAACTAAGCCCAAAGGTGCTTAGCTTCCAAACCCATCAACTTCAGCCATGTGATGACACTAGTGGTGGTCTCCAGTGTTATTTATTTATATTTCATATTTATTATAATGCAAATACAATCATAGTTAATCAAACTGAAGGCCAATAATGTCCCGTCTTGTAAAGCTCTAAATGTGTAACTGTTTTATAAGCCTCTGGGCATATATGGAAAGAAACAGAATAAATTTTAAGCCTAAGAATAGCCCCCCATCTCCATCCACACACACACACACACAGATTATGAAATCAAATTATACCCAATATTCGGAGCTGAAAGATGACCGCTTCTCTAATTCCTTAATAACTTTACAGTTAAATCCTCATCAACAATTGACAATTTTTGCTTTGGTGGTTTTGATGCCTTTTTAAAAATATAAACCCAATAGTGAAAAATTCTAGATCCATGGCACTCACCCCAATTTATTAACCATGATTTAGAAATCAGAAGCAAACTTTCTAATTTTAATCATGTTTTAACTAAAGTGTTGTTGTCTAATCAAGTATCAATTAAAAGAGAATTGTAGTTGATAATCATATTTAGGACAACAGTTAAACTTTTTGTTGTTGTTGTTCAGGAACCTTTTTGAAAGAGGGGAGGGGAGAGGTGGCAGACAAACATTCAACTTGGCCTGCTCCATTTCAGCCATGGATTTAAAAAGGGTGAAGAATATTACCAATCTGAATCACTGGTGTACAAAAGCTTGATCTGCAAAATGATAACTATTTTGTATTTGTATTTCCCAGAAAATATCCTAATATGAAAATATCCAATCATTTCTCAAGTTTGTGAACTTACCATTGTTATACCTGGGATTATATATTAAATGCACTAACTCTTCACCATATGTTTTATATGTGATTGGTAATCAGTTTTCCACATTTAAGTACCATAAGCAAGATTTTTAAAATATCAGAATCTCCAAACTTTTGTTGCAAATGGAGAGATTGAGAGAAGAAACCACAACCATTTAAAAAAATTAAATTCTGGTAAGCTATAGAGACATTTAAACGTGTAGCAAAAAAAAAACCTTTTCCATTATCTACACTATCAGCAGATATAATAATTAAAAGGAAAAGCCACAGAATTAAAGAGTAGAGAAACCAGAAAAATAAAATGTAGAATTCCTATCCCCTGCAGGATGCTCCAGCCTTCACCAGAATATTACTGGCTATTAACCTGCACAATCCCAGCTGAAACAAGCACAGAACTGGAACAAACATACAGCACACTAAGCACAGCTCCAAAACTCAGTAAATGCTTTTCTTGTATATACAAAAAAAACATCTTTAGCCTCAGGATTATTATAATTTTTTTTCCAGGTGACAGCACGTATACATCAGATTTTTTCCCATTTCTTTTTATTTTTTTCCAAAGCCCCTGTTCCCATCGTAATATATCTACACAGCTAAATCAATCGCAATACATTTCATATTTTAAAGGTTTAGGACAGTCCTTATTTCTAAAGTTTTGCTCCACCAACCCGAAGTCTTAATTCAAGCCTTCCATCTGTTTAAGGGGGAAAAAAACATTAAAATAGCCTACCCAGGTTTCCCACCAGAGGGAGGCTGCAAGGCACTTTCTATTTATTTTGGGATGAGATCTTAAAACAGCAGGCGTACCGACCCGTTCTGTTTCGCCCGTCTTTTTTGGATGTCAAATGTCCCCTCCGTTCTTCAATGACAGATTCGGCATGTACAAAATGTCTCCATTCCCAATCCCCATTTTGAAGGGATCCTTAAAAATTGCTTCTCCCACATATCCCACACGCAAGCCCCGCACGCGCACACACACACACACACACACATGGCAAGATTTCAAAAGTCCTCCTAATAAGCTCAATGAAGGTTTGGTCTGCTCCGCCAGAGCCTGGGGTTTAAACCCCGGGCTGGCCAAGCAGAAGTAAAACCAGCCAGCTATAGAGTTGTACTTCAGCCTACAAAGAAGTTGAGACAAACACAGGCGGAAAAAGCATGTTATTATTGTTATTATTATTTTTTCCAAGAGCTGTATTGAATTAATTCATCCGTTAGGGATGCAAGACATTATTCCCCCAATGGGATGGAGAGGTTCGTATCCCCCACCCCAACTAGACCATCAATTCCTCCCCACACACCACCACCAACTACACAAAATCCAACCCAACCAGGGTGGCGGTGGCTTGATCACGGCTTAAGGTGACCCACCGAGAAACCAACTTCTCACCTTTATCCTGAGAGCAAGACAGGATTTCTTCTTCTTTGGGGTTAGTCACCTGGGTGATAATGGACGGGTTGTCCATGGAAACTGAGTGCGCTTTTCTCTCTCTCTCTCTCTCTCTTTCACCTGGCTATTTCCCTCCCAGAGGCAGCTTTGGTGGGCACTTTTTAATTAAGCTTTGCTTTTAGGAAGCCGAGAGGCGGATTTATAAATGGGGCGAGGGTGGGCGGAGGGGGGGAGGGGAAAAAAAAACCACTCCTCCAAAACGAAGCCGAACCAAGCCACCCCCCTCCCCAAAAAAGGGGGCGAGGGAGGGGTCGGGGTGGAGTAGCCGGCCGAGCACACACGCCCCCCGGTCTCTCTTCGGGCCGGCCTTCCGCGGGCGGAGGGAGTTTCCCCCCCCCCCAAAAAGAAAAAAAAACCACTGCCCCTTGGGGAGGAGGAAGAGAGGGGGGAGGGGTTTCTAAAAGTGACCCCCCCCTCCCCGAGGCCAAAGGAGCGGTTAAAAGCGCAAAACCCCCCGCGTTGACACGGCAGGCCGGCGGGGCATCTCCCTTCGTCTCCCCCGGCCCAGGGGAGCCGCCCCCCCCCCCCGCTTTCCCCCTGCCCCCGGTTACGGCTGGCTTCGGACCCCGGCGGGGCTTGGGGAAAGGCGGGCGACCCCCGGGCAGCCCCCGTGCGCGCTCATGGCACCGTCAGGCGGGAGGAGGAGGAGGAGGAGGAAGCGGCCCCCTCACGTGCCGCCCCCCCCATTACCTCATCCCGCCCCCGCCGGCTGAGGAGCGCTCGAGGGCGGCCGCCTCCGCCGCTGCCGCCGCCGCCCTCAGCGCCCCGGATGCTCTACCCGCCGTCCGCCCCGCGGCCCCGACCAGGAGGAAGGGAACGGCAAGGAGCCCGCCGCCGCCTCTGCCGCCTCTACCGCTGCCGCCTCAGGCATCACCAGGTAGGCGGGAAAGCCGCGCAGCGCCTGCTCACTCGGCCGCCTCACAGCAGCCAGCCGGCCCCGGCAGACCAGTAAACAACGGGGCGGGGCCTCTCCGCCGCGGCCTGTCAATCCAGCTGGAAGGCGGGGCTTCTCCGCCGCGTCTTGTCAATCCAGAGGGAGGGGGAGGGCGGGGCCTCTCCATCTGAACCCTGTCAAGCGGGGAGGGAGGGAGTGGGCGGGGCCTGTCCGCCTCGCCCTGTTAGAGAAGGGGAGGGAGTGCGCGAGGCCTATCTTATGTCTCACCTACCCACCCACCCCGGCAATCCGCCCGAACGAGGAAAGGCTTTCTTCGACGCGGCCTGTCCATCCAATGGAAGAAGCGGAAGGAGGGAAGGGAGGAGGGATTTCTCCCGGCGCGGCTGTCAATGCCAGAGGCTGGAAGGAGGAGAAGGGGCGGAGTTTCTTCAGGGAAGGCTCTCCGCAGAGGGGGCGGGGTCTCCCCTCCGCCGCCTGCCAATCCGGTTGAGTGGGCGGAGAGAAGGAAAGGGCTGCCTGACTTTAGGGGGGGGGCGAGGTCTCGCTGACAGCGGTGGAGGCGCCAAAAGGGGCGTTTCGCTTAACGACTGATCGTAACATGGAGCGAACCATCTCTCTTCACCGGAGAAATTTCGGGTTCCATTGTGGTTCTAAGTAGGGGCTGCTTACCTTAAAGAAAAGAAGATGGGAAGGACACAGATAGTCCTCAACTTACAACGGTTCATTTACTGACTGAATCTAAAACAGCACTGAAAAAAGTGACGGGGCTGTTTTTCGCATGACGTTCCCTTGTGATTAAGGTCGTGAACTGGGGCAAAACTCACTTAACTGTCTTGCTTAGAGACATTATGGGTTTGATTGTGGTCATAAGTCAAGGACTACCTGCAGCTCTGTGTAGGTACCAAAAGGGGAGTCATAGGGACATGATCTGCATCCCCGCCATAACGACACAAACTTAGGACCAGAAATATAGACAGTCCTTGACTTACAACCATTCATGTAGTGACCATTGGGAATTACAACAGTCCTGAAAGAAATGACTCATTATCGTTTTTCGCATGACCGTCGCAGCATCCCCACAATCACGTGATCAGAATTCGCCCCCTTGGCAACTGATTCATATTTATGACGCTCACAATGTCCCTGGGGTCACGTGATCCGCTTTTGCGACCCGACAGGCAAAGTCAATGAGGAAGCCATTCACTTAACAACCATGTGACTAATATAACCACTGCAGTTTCACTTAACAACTGTGGCAAGAAAGGTCATAAAGTGAGGTAAAACTTATTTAGCAGCTGTTTTGGTCATCGCCAGAAGTATCCCCTGGATCAGAGCTCTCCAACCGTAGCAACTTTAAGACTTGTGGACTTCAACTCCCAGAATTCCTCTGCTGGCTGAGGAATTCTGGGAGATGAAGTCCACAAGTCTTAAAGTTGCCAAGTTTGGGGACCCCTTCCCTGGATGGAAGCGGAAGTTGGATTTTAAGCAAGCAGGCGATCAAATGTTGTCACCTTTGAACTGTGGCATTAGGGAAGAGACCTAAAAATAGCATGAAAACAAACTGACGGGGTCATTGAGTAAATAAACCTAGAGTTTTCATTCCGAAGCAAACATGACCTGGGTCAAATTATCCTAGTTTGGACCACATGACGTGAACATCCAGCTCTCTGGAAAACACTAATGCTGGGGAAAAATGGAAGCAAAGAGAAGAGGACAATTGAACCAGCTCCTCAAAAAATCCACAATGGTGGGGGGAAAAAATGTTGGAAGGAATGAGAAGAAGAAATTGAGCAGATTGTTGGGGGCAAGAGGCTGACTCTGTACACTGCTTAGAGAGGGCTGTAAAACACTATAAAGTGGTATATAAGTCCAAGGGCTATTGCTAAGTGCTATTGCTATTTGAACTGACACTAAATGAACTGTCGTAAGTCAAGGACTACCTGTAATTTCTCCAATACTCTATGATCCTCCTGTACGAGTGCAATTATTCCCTTCCTGGGAAAAATGTATAATTTGGGGAATTAGAATAGAATAGAATAGAATAGAATAGAATAGTTGGAAGGGACCTTGGAGGTCTTCTAGTCCAACCCCCTGCTTAGGCAGGAAACCCTACACCACTTTAGAAAAATAAAAGGTCTGGCTCGGAGAACTAAACTCAGACACTCAAGCGGCCACATTCAACTGGAGAATCTAGTCTGTAGCTCAAATTGGGGCCTCAGGAATATTCTACCTTTAAAAAAAGCAGAGTTGATAGGGGCAGAGCCAAAACATATTATTCTGTTGCCTCTCTTTCTAAAAATAGATTAAAAGGAATATGTTTAGAAAACACAAAGCAAAAGGCAGTTGTGATTCCTGTTTGTTTGGAGTGGGTTTGATCCTCCAGTGAACCCACAACAGAGAAAAAGCCTCAGAGCAGCTAGGTTTTTTGCAGCTTGCCCTTCCAAATCTTCCCCAATCCCGGTTTAACTGTTGGGAAGAAGCTGGTCTTGGCAGTGTGTTTCGGCTTGCTCCAGGGGAGGCTTGTACCTACACATCGCCTCCCCGACTCTCTTTGCACGGTTGTGTACAGAAAAACAGCCAGTTGGAAGGGTGTGGCGAGCGGAGGATGCTTTCGTGCACCTGGTTGGGGGAGGGAGAAAAAAATTGGTCCGGAACGCTTGGCCACTTCTTCCACGCTAACCATGTCTAAATTCATGACACAGGCTTACACAGGCTCCTTGGCTTACGACTACAATGGAGGCCAAAATTTCTGTGGCTAAACGAGATAATGGTTACAGGAATTTTGTCCTGTTCTACAAGCTTCCTTGCTCAAAATGGTAAAGGCCCTGCAGTTGTTAAGTTAGTAGCATGGTTGGTAAGTGAATCTGACCTCCCCATTGGTTCTTCCCCTTTAGAATAGAAAATTAGAATAGAATAGAATAGAATAGAATAGAATAGAATAGAACATATAATAAAACATAGAATAGAATAGAATAGAATAGAATAGAATAGAATAGAATAGTAGAATAGAATATAAATAGAATAAAATATAGAATAGAATATAAATAGAATATAGAATAGAACATAGAATAGAATAAAACAGAATACAGAATTGAATATAAATAGAATAGAATATAGAATGGAATAGAATATAGAATTGAATTGAATTGAATTCTTTATTGGCCAAGTGTGATTGGACACACAAGGAAATTTGTCTTGATGCATAAGCTCTCAGTGTACATAAAGAAAAAATAAAATACATTCATCAAGAATCATAAGATACAACACTTAGTGACAGTCATGGGATACTAAATAAGCAATCAAATCTTACTAGGGAACAAATAAAACAATATAAATTGTAAAAATACAAGCAACACAATTATAGTCATAAATGGGAAGAGATAGGTGATAGATAGGATGAGAAGAATAATAGTAATACAGTCTTACTAAGTAATTTGACAGTCTTGTGGGAATTAGTTGTTTAGCAGAGTGATGGCGTTCAGGAAAAAACTGTCCTTGTGTCCAGTTGTTCTGGTGTGCAGTGCTCTGTATAGCGTCGTTTTGAGGGAAGGAGTTGAAACAGTTTATGTCCGGGATGTGAGGGGTCCGTAGATATTTTCACAGCCCTCTTTTTGACTCGTGCAGTATGCAGGTCCTCAGTTGAAGGCAGGTGTGTAGTAATTGTTTTTTCTGCAGTCCTAATTACTCTCTGAACTCTGTGTCTGTCCTGTTGGGTTGCAGAACCAAACTAAACAGTTATAGAGGTTTGGTTTTCAGAAGGTCGCAAAATTGGATCGCATGACCCCGGGACAGTACAAACGAGTCTTTGGCCAAGTGTCGGAATTTTGATCAGGTAACCCTGGGGATGCTGCAATGCTCATAAGTGTGAAAAAATGGTCATAATTCACTTTTTCCCTCCAGTGCCGTTGTAACTTCAAACAGCCACGCAATGAACTATTGTAAGTTCAAGACTATTTCTGACGCTTAGCAACTGTTCAAAAGTTACAAAAAGTGATTCAGATTCAAAATTCCAACGGCCAGCCTATCCCCACTCCAACAAAGGAGAAATTTTCTTAACAGCGAGACCAATTAATCGGTGGGAGCAGCTGCCTCCAGAAATTGTGGGTGCGCCAACCTCAGACGCTTTTAAGAAGAGCCTCTCTGGAATGAGAGAGTCTCTTTGAGGAGTGGCTGGACTGGAGGACCTTCAAGGTCCTTTCCAGCCCTGTTATTCTCTTATTTTTCATTTTCTCTTCTCCCTCACTCCTGCCTCTCACAGTGATCTATCAACATGTCAAACAGAGATATCTCAACCTAGGGAATTTCCAGGAATGTGGACTTCAACTCGCAGAATTCTTATCAGGGGTCGAGTCCGCCTCATCCGAGCATCCTGATGAGAGGCGGATAAAGCAGTGCTGTGCGCGCTCTTCATCCCCCTGCCAAAAAGGATGGAGGCTGCTCCACCGAAAGCAGATCCGTTTTTTTCGATACCGTCCTCCCACAGGGCTCTATCGGTTTTCTGAAGATCCCTCTGTTTGCCAGAACTTAATTGGGCATTATCAAATGCCTTTCTCGGGGATGTTTTAATTAAAGAGGCTATCCCTTTAGGAAGTGGAGGCGCAAGGCAGAATGCTGAACGCAGGGAGGAGATAATTGGCGTGGTGGGAACAGAGAAAAAGTAAGAAGAGGGGATGAAGAAAGGTAATAGAGCAAAGACGGAGAAGGAATGGAATTCAGGATGAAAGCATTTAAATGCAGCTGCAAATTCCTCTAGCCCGAAAAGCAACAAGGGCATAAATCAATCCGTTCAGTTGTGTTAGCTGCCCTTCCTAATTTGCTGGGTTTTATTATAATCACTGTAGGAATTTAGCAATTATATGGTTCAGTCTTTGTAGTCACAATCCTTCTAACAACTGTAATTCAAGGATTTGAGATATAGGGAACAAAGAAAGTCCTCCGTCTACATCAGTGTTTCTCGCCCCAGCACCTTTTTTGGTTTTTTGAATAAGAGTTGAAAGGGAGCATGAAGGTCTTCTAGTCTAACCCCTTGTTCAAGGAA